AGAGAGAGAGAGAGCCCAGCAGAAAAGAAAATTGCCCTGTACCACCTCCCATTCCATCTCTATCACCTTCCCATCATTTCATTTGATGATGACCTGGATGGACTGTGGTTTTTCAATAGTCTATTGTATTTTGGTGCACTTAATATAGTTTCTCTTTGATATATGTACTCCTTGCTTATGACTTTATTGCAAGAATTCGGCCTTTGGATAATACTTCCCTTTCATAATTGTTTCGAATTTCTTATTAAGTAACTCTACTTCCCTTTCATAATTGTTTCGAATTTCTTATTAAGTGGCTGTAGTTTGGTGGTTATTTTATCACAGCTTGGGAAGCGCATCGAGTCCATGGTGCTGCCTTTAGAGCTATTGCAGCAGTTCAAGTCCTCTGATTTCTCCGATCCAAAAGAGTATGAAGCCTGGCAGAGGAGGAACTTGAAACTTCTTGAGGCTGGTCTTGTTTTGCATCCTTTTTTGCCTTTGGAAGATACGAATTTGGCGTCACAAAGGCTTCGACAAATCATACAAAGTGCTTATCAAAGGCCCATTGAAACTGGCAAAAATTCTGAATCAATGCAAGCACTTCGTAGCGCTGTGATGACCCTTGCATGCCGCTCTTTTGATGGGTTTCCCTCTGAGAGTTGCCATTGGGCTGATGGGCCACCATTGAACCTTTGGCTATATCAAACGCTACTAGAAGCATGCTTTGATATCAATGAAGAAACTGCAGTTATAGAGGAGGTGGATGAGATCATAGAGCTGATAAAAAAGACATGGATAATTATTGGAATGAATCAAATGCTCCATAATCTGTGTTTTTCTTGGGTGTTGTTCCATCGCTTTGTTGTTACAGGGCAGGTGGAGATCGATTTGTTGTCGGCAGCCGAAACCCAATTGGGCGAGGTTGCAAAAGATGCAAAAAGTACTAAGGACGCATTATATTGCAAGGTCTTGAACTCGACTTTGAGTTCAATTTTGGGTTGGGCAGAGAAGAGGCTTCTTGCCTACCATGACACCTTTGAGGCCAAAAATAGGGATTCCATGGAGAGCATTGTCTCCTTGGGGGTATCAGCTGCCAAGATATTGGTTGAGGACATATCTCATGAGTATCGCCGAAAGAGGAAAGATGAAGTTGATGTGGCTCGGAATAGGATTGACACTTATATTCGGTCTTCTCTTCGCACTGTTTTCGCTCAGGCAAGTGTGTGCCGTTGCGTATTTCGCATGATATCATGCTTTAAACTTTACATTCGGTTGAATTCATTTGCATGTGTGTTGCATGAATACTATTAGAGTTCATTTGCATGTATGTTGCATGAATACTATTACGAAATAGAGAAATTGTAAATTATAGTGGGGAAAGAAGAACTAAGGGCACATGAATCTGATCTTAAGATGAAAATGCAACAAAGAAACCATTTTACATGTATCTGTTTGATGCTTAACCTAAAGAAGGGACTTTTTGTTTATTATTCCTTTCCAGAATTAACTGAACATTTAATAAAATTGGAATGGAAGACATATTTGACTTTAGCATACTGGACAAAGTGCCAAACTGCTGGATGTCTGTGATTTGAGACAAATTTGGATGCTTTGATTCTTTCAAATCCGTCAGAATGAAACCTATAATTAATATTAAATTGGTCACTTTTTGAATGAGATGGAGGGAATGGGGTGTGTATGTGTGAGAGAGACAGAGAGTGTGCATGTCTGTCCATGTGCATTTGTGTGTGCATGAGTGTGCATGTAGGGAGCAATGTAGTTGCATCATATAGCCTGTGAGATGAATGCATCAGGTCTCCCTACAACTTGAAAGAGGAATATGCATGCTTAGTATTCATTTTCAGAAGAAAAAAAAAATGCATGCTTAGTGTTATATATTTTTTGTTGCTTATGGAGTGATTCACGCCAAGGTTCAAGTTTCTTTTTGGGCCATTATTCATGTTTCCGTTCAATCTTAATACAGAGAATGGAGCAAGTAGATTCAAGGAAGCGATCCTTAAAAAACCAGCCAAACCCACCTCCAGTTCTTTCAATCCTAGCAAAGGATATTGGTGACCTCGCAAGAACTGAAAAGGAAGTATTCAGTCCCATATTGAAGAGATGGCACCCTTTTGCGGCAGGAGTGGCTGTTGCTACTCTCCATTCATGTTATGGAAGAGAGCTAAAGCAGTTCATGTTGGGTATTTCCGAGATGACCCCTGATGCTTTACAAGTACTGCAATCTGCCGATAAGTTAGAAAAAGAACTTGTGCAGATTGCTGTAGAGGATTCAGTTGATAGTGAGGATGGTGGAAAGGCCATAATTCGTGAGATGCCCCCTTATGAGGCTGAAACTGCAATGGCTGACCTGACCAAAATATGGATAAAAACAAGAGTAGACAGACTGAAGGAGTGGACCGATCGAAACTTGCAACAAGAGGTTTGCTTTATTCTTGCCATCGGTATATGATATGCCCTGGCTCGTCCTTGAATTAGCTGAAAGATCATAGCGATCCAAATTTTGTATTATAAATAAAATCAGGCTAGTTAGAATGTTTCTCTAGAAAAGGCCAGATTGAATATTAGATTTGAAATTCTCCCACATTAAATTACCCACTGTGATTTCGTACTTGCATGCTCACATACATGTCCTACACACATTTATAAAAGAAATACATAATTTTCACTAAGTGGAGAATTTTGTTGCTTGTGGTAAAATTTTGGTTTTTCCCTGTTGGCCTTCCTTGATCTAAGAAGGGTTCCTTGATCTAAGAAGGGTGAGGACCTTAAATATTCTTTTAACCCATTCCAAGCCCGGCTCAAAGAGGTGGGTTCTGTTAGGGAGGCAGCCCATATAAAACTTTGTCAAAACTATCCATGAATCATTCCTGTTGGCCTTCCTTCTTCAAAAGTAATGATTTGGCCCATGTGGCTCAACTTATCGGAAAGTTGTTCAATCAAGCTAGTTTATGGGTTTTCATCTGCCTTTAATTTTAAAACTGTTACTTTTTTCTTCCCAGTAAAAATTCCAAGGAACCATCAGGATGCATACCATTAAAGTTATAGGAGAATAATAGTTACAGAAGACGAGGAATAATTTTTTAAAAAAATAAAGAAAAAGAATAAAATGCTATTCACATAAAATTCTTTGCATATTACTGAATTTAATTTTGCCAAGATTCTCCTTCAGTCCCTCAAAATATTCATTCGAGTTAACAGGGCTCTTATTTCCTGATAAGACTATTTAGGAAGCACCATATATGAAAGCACCACATCCCAACTTGTCATTGGTTCTCAAAAAACCCATTAACGAAATGTTCCTTAAACATCTTTAAGGGAAAAGAAAAGAAAGAAATGGTCCCTGAGCATTGGGAACATTCAGCAGGGGTAACATGTGTTTAACATCTTTATTACAAAAAGAACAAGAGGTTTATGGTACAAATGGAAGAACATCTATAGTTTACTTTGTAGCAGTATGGCAAAGGTTATTGCTTAACGTCCCCTTATTTTTCCAGGTTTGGAATCCAAGAGCAAATCTGGAGAGATATGCTCCTTCTGTGGTGGAAGTTCTTCGAATGATGGATGAGACATTGGATGCCTTCTTTCAGCTGCCAATATCAATGCACCAGGACCTACTCCCAGACTTGCTTACTGGGCTCGATCGAAGCCTGCAACATTACATATTCAAGGCAAAATCTGGTTGTGGTATGTCCAAATATTCTTAAATAGAGTCTCCATCTAATTATTAATGGGGTTGCTAAATATCATATATTAGGTCTTTATCAATATTCTTAATGGAGGTCTAAGTAGGGTGAGGACATTAAACTTTCCTTTAAGCTGTCCAAAGCCTTGGTAAACGAGGTAGATTGTGTTAGGTAGGCAACCAACATAAAGCTTTGTTAAAACTTTCCATGAATCTTAAATCAATATTTTTAATGGGTTTTTGGTAACCTATAAAAAGCGATAGTGATCTCAATACTCTTCCTTAATGTGTTTTACTAATGTGAATATAATTTGCCTCAGCGTGGATGGTTTGACCAGTTTCTGGTGGATGCATGATTCAAACTGATTTGAAATCAGCTTCTTTGAGCCAAAACCAGCTGGATTTTGATTTGTGAAATTTGAATTTCACATAATAAAATTCCAATTTCACATAATTTATTTAATATACTTTTTGTAATATAAGCCAACTTAATCAACATTTTGGACTGGACAGGAAGATAGAAGATTGAGAGTATAGTTTGAACGATAGCTGAGTAATACGGTTTGTGGTTAATGCAAATCAGTTGAATCTGAAAAATATAAGAAATCGGACATGAATTCTCTCTACATGAGTGTGAGAGAGATGATTGTAGGAAATTCCTTTCCTTGATGGATTTGTTTCTCTTATGAATCTTTCAGGAACAAGGAATAGTTACATGCCGACTCTCCCACCACTCACCAGGTGCAAAACTGGCTCAAAGTTCTTCAAGAAGAAGGAGAAGTCTCCTATCTCCCTTATGAAGAAATCTCAGGTCGGGACAATGAATGGGGATGGCTCATTTGGGCTTCCTCAGCTCTGTGTGCGGATGAACACCCTACACCAGATTCGCACTGAGCTTGAAGTTTTGGAGAAAAGTATAACAACTCGTCTAAGAAACAGTCCATCTTCTCTCTCTTCTACCTCAAATGGTGAGACTCCAAAATTTGAACTCTCGGCAGCTAGTTGTCAAGATGGAATACAGTACCTTTGTGAGACCACTGCTTACAAAGTGATTTTTCATGACTTGGGTCGTGTTTATTGGGATAGCTTATATGTGGGAGATCCAAATTCCTTTAGAATTGAGCCTTTTCTTAGAGAATTGGAGCCAAGCTTAGAGGTAATCTCTGGTACAGTGCACAATAGGGTGCGAAATCGTGTTATAACTGCTCTAATGAAGGCGTCCTTCGATGGATTCTTGCTGGTTCTTTTAGCTGGGGGGCCTGGTCGAGCTTTTACTCGTCATGATTCTCAGATAATAGAGGATGATTTTAGGGCTCTTAAGGATCTTTATGTGGCCGATGGAGATGGGTTGCCACTAGAACTAGTAGAGAAAGCAGCAACTCCTGTAACAAATGTTTTGACCCTCTTTAGAGCTGATACAGAGACCCTTATTGAGAGGTTTAGGAGAGTGAGTATGGATAGTTTTGGATCGTCAGCCAAGTCGAAGCTTCCTTTGCCCCCCACTTCAGGGAATTGGAACCCCAATGAACCAAACACAATTCTTAGGGTTCTGTGTTATCGGAATGATGAAGCAGCCTCTAAGTTTCTCAAGAAGACCTTCAGTCTGCCCAAGAAGCTGTAGAGTTTTGAGCAAGTGGAAGTTTTTTTAGGTTACGGTGCATTTTTAGAGGGAGAGATTGTGTGTGTTTGAGAGAGTGTGTGTAATATATTAGTTGGGGCTTAGGGTGGTGGATTCTTTTGATTCTTTTCATGTGCCTGAACTGTTGTGTTTAGCTTGGGCTTTCCACAGCGGTAGAAAGCTTGAGTGCCCTTCTGGAAGTATTTTCTTTGAAAGCAGTATAGCCAGCATTCTTTGGAAGGATTCTCTCTCCTATTCACGAACTAGTAAGGTACATTCAATTAGAAATGTATTGGGTTGGAGGATCCCTTCGATTTATCTCAGTATAGTTAGAGATGGATAACCTTCTTGCTGTCTGTCCTTTAATTCGATATTGAGTATGAGCCGCTGGAACTTGTGATTTTGGACGGCTTTTAGTTCTTCATTTGTGGTTGTGTACAGTTTTCTGAAATAACATCAGATTCTCTCTCTCTCTCCGAGATGGATTATTTTTTTGCATTACAGGTCTTGGCTTTGTGGGCAGGTGTTTAGTATGCTAAATGTAAATTATGAGTCATACGTTCCTATGTCAGGGAAACCACTGCAAGCTATTGATTAAGGCTACAGCACATATGCCCTTTTATTCTGCATATTGCTGTTCCAGAGTCATGACTCAGCAGGTTTTGATCGGTTCATGTTTGGGAGTCAGAAAAGTTTCCAAAAGTTGCCCCGATGCTTTTCTGTTCATGTAGTTGGAAGTTGCACAATTTGCTTCATCATGGGGGAGAATTAGGAAAATTTGTGCGAGAGAGAGAGAGGCTTATTTTCAATACCAGAAGTACAAAGGGAAAGGTTGAAGGAGTTCCTGAATTGTTGGGAATAAGCATCGGGATCTTTACAGTACCTTTCAGGGGGTTATTTGGGGCAACGGGGTATATTCATCACAAGCTTATTGAGTCATTTATGAACCATGCAGGGGTATATACGTCACTTATAGAGGTTCTGGATTCGAGCTGTAGAAAGTAACCATCATAATCCTACTAGAGTCATGAATGGACCGTTCAGAAAGGTTGGATCCCTTCAAAATGAATGAATGTGTTCGTCTTTGAGAGAGAGAGGTTCTGGTTCTCTGTATTGCTTTTGTACTTACCTAAAATCAGCAGTTTCAGATCCCATTCATAAAGTATGGTACTGAGTCAATGTACGGATAATTCAGAGTGATTAAGACAAATTCCTTCCCATTTGAGGCACGCGCGAGAAGAGAGATTTTTAACAACTAGATGTGCTAAGAGAATTCTCTTGCATACATTAAGAACATATCCCTCAACCTATTTTTCAAGATGTACTTCCGTTCTCACGTTAGAATCATCTAGAGCTCAACATGTTATACAGCACAAATTCGTTGTCCTCTTTGTTTCTTCCCCCTCCACAAGAGAAAATGAAGCTGCAAAATCTTCTAGGTGAGTCAAAATGCAGAACATTTAACAAGACTGCATGGCCTCGTTCAAAGACCTAATATCACGTACATTAAATAATCAAACAAGCCGAAAACTATGATTTGTTTCTCTTTATATATCAATGCCAAGGATTTCTCCTTGTGGTGCTCTTTATGCTGGATGACTTGCTGGACTTTGAACTCTGCAATAACGAGCATAGTGATATAAATACAAGAATTAAGCAAAAAATCCTTACAATAAAATGAGAGCTCAAAAAGAAAAAGCTAATTATGGCAATGAAATGCTTTTGGATAAGGAAATCACATGGGTACACATTAAAAGAATGAAACTGATTGGATATATCTAATTTGGAATCAGTGAAACATTGATTAGATGTAGATTAACCAGGAACAATTTGACACCTTTCCATGGTTAATCTTCATCAATTTAGCTATCGTATATTACTATGTAGGCAAAAAGAAGCAAAAGAAAATGAGGGATCCCATTCTCAGGAATTCCTCAGTGACTAATTTTTCAAGGGAATTTCAAGGATTGATTTTCTGAGGTTTGTTCTCAAGAAGATCTCAAGGAAAATAAATAAACAGAATAACTACAAAAAAAATGTGGTGAAATTAAAAAGTGAGGGAATTAAAGGTGGGGAAGTTATCTTGTAAGACCCGGCTCCACAAGATATACTAGCAGGGAAAAATCTCGTTGGACCAATATCCACCGCTCAGCACCTACCATGGACGGAAGAGATGATCCTTTAGCTCACACAACAGATGATGTTGGACTTTGTGCTGAGCAACACATGGTCTACCACTATCCTTAATAGAGAGATTCAAAGGATGAGATAGTAACTTATATGAATATGTTATGGCCCTGGTCCTACAGGATGAGTTCCTAACTTTATTTCTTCAATATTATTGTAACTTGCCTTTCATGCACAGGAAAACTAAATAGGGTTTTATATACATGAAAGGTTTCTATACTTCCCCTACAGCATGGAAGACATATGCTTCCCCTACCATCCAGCCGTCCAATTTTGATCAAGAGAGACTCACCGTTTGATCTTAGATCCGACGTCTCAAAGCATTTTATTTTTAGTTTTTTTATACAAATTGCATAACTATGAAATTTGGTACGTGCCATATTCTCATTGGAGCACACCTATAAAAAATATTAAAAACAAATTTTTGATAAATATAATGACCAAAATACCCCTTGGTCATTTTATTTTATTGAAAATATTTTTCACTAGTGCGAGTTTAATAAAGGATTGGACATCCAAAATTTGATGTCAAATTAGTTTATAGAAAAAAAATTAAGAATAAAATAGTGGAGAGATGTGACATTGTGATTGAGGCAATCTTAGCCCTCCATTCGAACGGAGGGTTGGACAAGGAGAAGTATATAAGTTTTATGATATAGGGGAAGCATAGAAGCTTGCCCTTTATATACTAGGTATAATTTGTTCTTTTTCAAAAGTTGCAGAGAAGGACAAGGAATTGGGGGAGAGATCATATTTTGATAAGAAATTTTGACACGTGACTATTTGTCAATTGGCTTAAGAAGGGTGAGGACCTTAAATTTTCCCTTAACCCATCCCAAGCTTGGGTAAAGGAGGTGGGTTGTGTTGGGTAGGCAACCAACTTAATACTTTACCAAAACTTTCCATGAAACCGACCGCAAATAGTTGGGAAAAGGCTTTGATGATAATTTGTCAATATTGAAGATACCCTATAAAATAGTCGAGAGAAATGAAAAGGCATGGCTACACACCGATTTTGATTTCTTTGTCTTTCCTCTAATCCGATTCTTTGGAGGCTTCAACTTGTAAATCCTCACCATCCAATGATGAGTCGTAAAAACCTCCTCAAAATGTGTGAGCTTAAAATATTTCTTCCCTATTTCGGTCCTTCGAACTCTATCAAATCCTTTACCATCTGTCTCCACAAATCTGAAAAAGAAAAATAAAATCAAAATCACTAAATTAAGGTTTCTCATTTTTTAAGAGATTAAGTCAAATTAAGGTTTGTCAGAGTATTATTGAAGCCATGTAAAGCCATAACGATGGAAACGCATACCATGCTCCACAAACTATGGCATATGGTAAGCCAAGGATACATCCACTATCTGTTTCAACTGCTAGATTATTCATGACCAAGTGGAGTGGGTCCCAAGGAGATATTCACCCATGGAATGGTTACACACCAATAACCATCAGTGGAGTAGACTGCATATAGCCTTAGATTACCACATACCATAGTCATTGGATTATAGTATACTTTAAGGTTTTAGTTACCTGTAATATGAAAGCCTGTACATCAGGCAATTAAGCATGGTTGGAGTGGCCTGAGAGTCGATTCTATATTGCCCATCCCTCTTCGTATAACGACATCAAAAAACGTATCAGAATAATCAAAGAAAAAGAAAGAAATAATAATTAGAAAAATCCAAGAGAAAATGAAGAACACCTAGAATTGCCAAGAAAAATAAAAAGGGGCAATTTGCTATAACAGAGATAGAAGATAGCAAAGGGCTGAAAATATATGGATTTTTAGCTCCGTGACCCTGAGGCAATGCACGAATGCAGGACCACAGGAAAGCCTGAAACTGAGAGGCAATGATAACCTCTCCAAGTTATATATGGTTGCGCAGGCCATATGAGAGATCTATAAATACCCAATAAGAGATTGAAGAAAGCAGGAGATCACAAATTTTCCATGAAAATTTTGGCATTTCTAGGAAAAATCTTGGAGAACATACGAGAAATGGAAAACTTAAAAAAATAAGTAGAAAAGAAATTAAATAGTAGCAAAAGAAGAATAAAAAAATATCGTATCCAGTTTCTTTTAAAACTAAGTTGTGTATTTAATTTATCATAGGGTCTAACCAATATTTTATCAAATTCATAAAGTGCTTTGTCCAAAGCCATTTGCAGAAGAATATAAGAAATTCACGAAGGGAAATATCATAAATTAGAGAAGAATCACATTTCCTGTGATAGTGTTCAGAAAAAAAAATTTACAAACGACTTACAAAAAAAGACACTATAATAATGGATCAGGGAACAGTTTCAGTATACCACCTCATGCCCCCATCATTCTTGCTAAAACCTTAAAAATCACTTACAAGATAATCCGGCTCCTTAATATGAGGGAATACTCCTCCTCCAATGCGAACCATCCATAGGAACTTATTGATATCATCACTCGGATAGCCAACGAGACCTGCAAATCACAGTAAACCTTCTGAGGAAAACCGTAATTTGGTTGGTAAGACCTTCTACATTCCATAAAGCTTCTATTGTTGAGAATCATTAAAAATTTGGAAAGCAAAGTTTCATAGTCCAGCTCTTTTACAAAAGAGGACAGAAGGTAACCTCCAAAAACAACAAGAACATATTTGACATCCAAGGAATTAAAAATCTCCCAAGCAGGTTTTTCAGGAGAAGACATGGCTGTGCCGACAGTAGCAATGTGTGTGTTGTTCCAGGTATTGTTGTCGACAATGACTGTCCGGTTTGCCATTGCAGTTGTTTGGTATCCATAGTCCCACCATGACGCAACCTGTATGAAGTTACTATGGTAAGTTTTAAGCATTGATGCTTCATGTTGGGTTTGCCCCAAATATAACCAGCCTTTGGAATACTAATAATGTGAATCAGTCATAACCCAAGATATGGAAGAAACTACGTATTGAATGTGATGCACATAATTTTCTTAGACATGGCACTTGACCAAAGATAAACTAAATATAAAGCAAAGAGAACCATGATATCACAAGCAGATAGACCTCCAGGTAACACAATATATGTAAGTGTACAAAGATGAGAATGCAACAAAGAAAAAATTCAGACCTTATCATCCACCTCGGTATTATGACGTAACCATGCATAAGCTTCACGGAAATCATCAAAGACATGCAATCCATCATGTGAGTGAGATGTTAGGACAATTGAAGGGGCTGAATAAGCTTCTGCTGCAGCCCAGACACAATGAACCTGCATAAACAATATTCTTTTAGCCTTTACAAAAATCTTTAAAGGGCCCATTAGCTGAAACATGCAGGGGAAAATTCTAGAGCAAATATGAACGAGCACAACCAAGCTGCATCTTAATAGTACTTCCTTAAATCAACATGTTACAAACTCGTACAGTAAAAAGACAGATCATTTACATATGCAGGTTATCAGATATAAACTTCTGACACTCAGGTGGCCCTAGGAGTAGGTACATGGACACAGGCACAGTTTGGACGGTTATCAAATATATTCATGAATGATACAATTCATGAATATGGAAAAGACAATTATTTATTTCTTTGCTTCTTTATTTTTTTACATGAGGGGAAGTGGAAGGAGAACAGGATTATTCATGAATAAATGGTACATCCAAATGAGGCCATTATTATCTGGTCCTAACTTCTAGGATAATATAGTTTTCTTGTTTGGATGGATTAGATGATGTTCTCCAAAAACAAAGTATATCAGTTCAAGTAAAGATGTCATCACATACCACATAAAAGCTCCCGAGCATAATGAGTAGGAAAATGGCGACAGCAGAAGCCACCAAAGGCAAAACAAGCAGTCGCTTCTCTTTCCGGGGCTTCGACGAAGCCTTCTCCACATTTTCCTTTTCTTTCTTCCTGTGTTTCCTCGATGGTCGTTCCCTCAAGCTGTCATCTAACTTCTCTAAAGAACTTTCAGACTTTGCTGCTTCATTTTGGACAGATCCATAGCCGGAAGGGGTATCCTCTGCCTTGAAAGATTATATAAACATAACCACAAATGTTCACCAAAAAGCAATAATACTAGATCATGAGAAGTGTCTATTCTAGAATACTAGTGTTCACACATCAAAGATTTGCTTACAGTGGAGGCGGTGCCCTCTACCAATTCAGGTAATTGTAATTTGACTGATCGTGTCAGCACATCAAAGGCTTCAGAAAGAGCAATGCCAGACATGATGCAAGCAGCAGGAGCAAGTACAAGCATAAGACGTACCTGAAAATCAGGTCATTGTAAATGATAACAGAAAATAAAATACAGAAAACATATAACACAACAAGTCTTTCTCAATAATTGATATAAACCATTGCTTGAGGTGCTCACCATGACACCTGAAAAGTAAACTGATGTTACTATATACAAGACCACAAACGAGCTGGCATCGGATAAGGGTAAAAAGCATGCCTAAAAACACATATACACCACTGTCAGGAAACAGAAATCAAAGATATATCAATAAGGGAGGACTATCTCTGGGTCATAAAAGTAAAATCAACAAATGAATAACATTATTTTGAAACTATAACCATTCAACAACTAATATTGTAAATGATTGTGAGAACAAGAACTCATGCCACAGAAAATTTCATAGATCCTGCATATTGCTAGATAAAGACTGCATTGAATAAATTGTGAGCAACAAACAGAATCCACTGAAAATTGAGGTAAAGGTAAAGCTAACTACATAAGGCAGAATAATGGCCATACGACACATTAAATATATAAATGCAAACAGGAAAGCTAAATTATTACCAATGTGCACGGTTCTAAGGAGCACATACAAAGGAGTGAGCCATTATTCATTAGAAATTCACGTAAAAAAATTTGAAAACAGAATAACTAAGCCGCAGATGGAGAGGGTTGACAGGAGAGATGTCCAAGCCCCCGAGAATCTGCTGTTAGCTGCAATGAGGGTTGAATGTGGTATTTGTGTCGGAGTACCTCAATCCAAAGGTGGTTATTTTGGGTGGCAAGACGCCACCACCACTTGCCAAGCAAGATGAAATTCTGTTCTCAAAGACACTAGATTCCAAGGCCGCCAAGTCTCTTGGGCAAACAGACCTTTGACCACGAAATGAGATGGTACCTCCTCTGGTCACTCTCCCTTGACTAGAGGAAGTTTCCCATGAGTTGTTCAAGGCGGTGTATCACGGCAGCCGGCATATGAAACAGTGACATCTGGTAAACGGGAATGTTAGCTAAAGTTGCCTTAATGAACGTAACTCTACCAGCCAGAAAAAGATAACGACCCTTCCATCTAGCAAGCCTGCGATCAAACTTGTCTAGGATGTGGGCCCATTGCCCTTTTTGGGCTTATCAATGCAAAGCGACACCAGACAATTGGAAGGCAAAGTGTCAATTTGGCATCCCCATCTATCCGCAAATTCTTGGACAGAGTGAGGGGCTACGGACACCCCAATAGTCTTGGACTTGATCCTGTTGACCTTAAAACCAATAGCAAACTTGAAGCACTTGACAAACAGATGGAGGGAGTCAGCCACCTGGGCAGAAGCGTATTAGAGGTATGTAATAGTTTTTTTTTTTTTGAGAAAGGATACCTTTTGGAGGTATGTAATCGTTGGGCCATGCGGTCCACTTTGAAGCCATGTAAGAATCCCAATTGGAACATTTGAGTAATGGATTGGCTGAAGACCTCAACTGCAATGGCAAAGAGGAAAGGGTAAAGAGGGTCTCCCTGTCTGGGACCCCTAGAGGAGGGGAAGAAACCTTTAGGGGAACTGTTGATTAGGATCAAGAAAGATGGGTTGGAGATGCAGCCTTTCATCTATACCCCCACCGATTGTCAAACCCATTCTTAACAATGTTTTGTCAAGAAGGCCCTGTCAACATGGTCGCAGGCCTTCTCCCAGTCAAGTTTGATAACCAGGGCTGCGAATTTGGAGAAATGCCTAAAATGGATGCATTCATGGGCTACAAGCACTCCATCTAGAATCTGTCGATCTTTCACAAAGGCACCTTAGGGGGAGAGAGATTAGCAAAGAGAGGACCTCTATCAGCCAAGTGGCAAGCACCTTGGAAAGAATTTTGTAGGTGTTGTTAATTAGGCTAATGGGGCAGAAGTCCTTCATTTCTTCAGCACCTTCAACTTTTGGGATAAGAGCAATGAATGAAGCATTCAGAGCCCTATGGAAGACAACCCTTTCGTGACATTCCTGAAAGGAGGAGAGGAAGTCCATGCGAAAAGACTGCCAGAAAGTCTTGAAGATGGCTATGGGGAAGCCATCTGGGCCTAGGGCACGATCCGGCCATAAGGCCTTAATTGCACAGAGAATTTCCTTCTCAAAGGACAGGCTTTCCAGCCAATGTGGGTTAGAGAGGGGAAAGAAAGGTCTACCATCTTAGGCTTCATCTACTAGAAGCGAAGAACAGGTTTTTGAAGTAACCTATAATGGCATCCTCCACATGTTTTGGTTACTCAAAGATACACTTTCCGACCATGATGTGAGTGATAGCATTATCTCATTTCCTGCAATTTGCAATTCTAAGTAGTCTCCGAACTTGAGCCACTTCACCCTGAACCTTTAGTGCCAGTAGATTTCCTCTTGTTTGAGGACAGACTGGTAATTGAGTTTCAACTGGGCCCTTTGGTGGCTTTCAATGGTGGCTAAAGCCCTATTTTCCTCAAGGATATCCCAGACCTGGATTGCTTGAAGCAGCTGGGACTTTACGAACTGGAACTTCCTCGGGAGTTGACAACTCCAGCTCTTAAGGGATTGTTTGAGAAGCTGCAATTTTCGTTGTTGTCAGAAGCCCGCCCTTCCTAGTATTAAGGGTGAAAAGGATTCCCACCAAAGAGGATTAGGGCGTGGAGGTTGGCTTCCTCTAGCCAAGCCATCTTGAACCAAGGGTCTGGGGCCTCTAGAAGCACGTGAGTATCAAGCATGATGGGACAGTGATCGGAAAGTCGGCTTAGAGATAACAGACGAGTGAGAGCCAGGAAAAACACTATCGCATTGAGTGCTGAAGAGAAATCTACCTAGCTTAGAGAGAAGGGGGGAGCGCTTGGAGAGAGAGAGGGGAGAGGAGTGGTAGATTAGGGCTGGCAATGGACCCGACAATTCCCGGGACCCAACGAGTATTACCCAACCTCGGGTCCAGGTATGGGTCCAAATTTTGGACCCGAATACTATTTAGGTCTGGGTCCTGGTCCAGGTTCAGGTCCAGCCAGACCCAACCCGTACCCGTAGTCATAGGGTATATGATGGCAATCAAGTGTCTTTAGGCGCGCGTGCTAGGTGTTCATATTGTGACAATATTGGCACCATTTATAGTCTTATTGACAAAAAAAGAAAGTCATAGTCATAAGGTATATCGTTTTTGAGAAATGTTTACTTTATATAAAAGGTAAAGATTACAGTCATAAGGTATATTAGTATATGATGGTAAAAAAAAAAAAACCTCATAATCACAAGGTGGCAATGGATTCGATCAGACCCGGGACCCAAAGAGTCCGGGTATGGGTTCAAATTTTGGACCTGAATACTATTTGGGTCCCGGTCAGGGTCTAGCCGGACCCGACCCATTGCTACCCCTACGTTAGACCATGTAAATTGGACACCTTGAAGGGACACGTCTGCAAGGTTATTCCTGGAGATGAACTCACAAAGTTTGAGCATCCTCGGGAAATTATGGAGCTTCTATTGCATTCATATGACCACAGGGTGATGTTGAAATACCCTCCTAAGCACTATGAGGGATGTGGTAGAGCTGCAACAAGATCAAGCTCTGTCCAGAAGAGGTCCATAGAACTCTCAGAGTTTGGGCCACAGATCATAGTGAATTTCCAAGGGAGACCATTGGAAATTCTTCACCAAACCACTGTAACTGAGGAGGATAAGTGGGCAAAGATTAAGTCATTAAGGGTGGCATCCTAGATAACCCATATGCTTCCGGAGGCCCTAGAAGCTGGCAGGGCTTCCCAACGGCAAGGTCTTCGACCCCAAACTAGATGGATGAGCTGAAGAGAGGGGTAAGGAAGCTTCGTTTCAGAGAGAGCGAGAATAGAAGGGTGCTATGCTCTTGTTAGGGTGTCCTAGACCCCTGATATTCCATGAGAGAATTATCATGAGGATTTCAGAGAGGGGACGCATCTCCAAGAGCGTCGAAGAACTATTCCGCCAGGGGAACAGAGAAGCAGTATAAACTATCAAGGGGATAGAATTCATGGCAGGTAGGGGGCTTGCTTTGAACGAGGGCGATCGTAGTTGATGCCACAGGAGAGATTGAAAATCTCCCTCTTATCTTTACCTTTCTCACTTACCCTGAGCCGAGTTTGAGCATCTACCTTGAATCATGTATGGTAGGGGCCGTCGAGACCATCATACTCAAAGCCCATGACCTTGAGGACTTGTCGTATGTCACCTGTGCTGCACCCAGATCTTCGACAAACATGGAATCCACCAAGGGAGGGGAGGAGTGTGAGGAACTAGGTTCCGAGCAGACCCAAGCAAGGAGAAAGTGATTGCAGTTTGTAAAGAAGCAACATATGCAAGGGAACTTAGGGGTGGCTCCAATAGGCGATAAGATGAGGGAAAGTATACTTAAGTGATCTGGCCATGTGCAACGTCGACCTAGAAAAACACTAATTACGAGGGGCAATTTGAGTGAAGGCTCTAAAAGGACAAGGCAAAAGCCTGAAAGAACATGAATGTTAGTAGAGAGAAGAGGTATGGTGACTTTTGGTCAGACTGAGGGTATGGTGCTTGTTAGAGCAGAATGACATAACACAATTCGTGCAGTTGACCCTAAATAGATAAGATAAGCCTCGGCTGATGATGATGATAATATCATATGACCATAATTCTGTTGAAGGCAACGCCACAAGAAATGACTCTAAGGTTCACAAAGTCTATCAAACTAAGATATATGACAATAATATAAAGCCACAGTTAAACGGCAGGAACACCTAGCATTCAACTAGACTAGGACCTTGTGGAGTGAAAAACTTTAGGATAGGGTACAAGGAAACCTTATAGAGTGGGAATTTAGGATATTTTACCTCCTAGTCCAACTCATCCATGTCTTTTCTTATAATCCATTCGGATGGGAAAAGGAAGTCCCTTCAGAAAATACTTCATCCAAACCTAAAGAATAAATGCTTTGGATTATGTACGTCTTGAGGTTCTCTTCAATTTTGGGAACTATAATCTTCATTAGAAACCTAAAAAGTAGAGTAAGCGTTCTGGATTATGTACAAAGAAAAGCTCTCTTCAAATTTGGGAACTATTATCTTCATTAGAAGCCTGAACTTTGTTCTTTGAATATTAATGATTTTGTTTTTTGTGATTTTCTTTTTCAGAAAATATTTTTTCACACTTTTGCAAAATAGAAACATGCCTTGCGCGTGCCTAAATGACTTCCAGAACCCAGTTAAAGACAGGATTCTTTAATTTGGATGGCAGCACAAATGGTTGATTTCTAATATTTGCTAACCTTTTAACAATGCCAGGGCACAACTAACCTTTTAATGTCAAACTCCTAAAAAGCATTTGAATGGTTTAGGCCAGGAAAGGAAATAAATACCCATATTTGAATTCAATGAGATCATTGCAGGAGCGGAGCGAAAAAAAATACTGAGGCTACACTCAGTGAACTCTAGCAAGTACATAAATGTGAGCTCGGAGAACTAACACAAGTCATGTATAACTTACTAGGAGCCAATTCCAGAAACAGCAAAATATGTTGCTATTTATATAAACTCAATATGCTGCAGTCTAATTTTGACGTAGAGAATTCACAAGATGATTTCCAAAAGGAAAAAAAAAGGTAACAGGACAGCCACATTGCAAAAATTAGAGGATGTAAAAATTTCTAAGAAAATAACTTTGCTTTACTCTCCTCTTTTCTTTATTTTGAACCAGTATCATAAGATAAAAGCTCAGTCTTTTTCTTTTTATTTTTTCTTCTTTTTCTTTTCCTTTATTGAATGTTAAACTAGGACCTCAGTGAGAATGGAACTCTATATGTCACATTGTGATTCCCGACCTCCTGACCGCCTCTGCCTAGGGCTGTTCTTGATAAGAGCTCAGACTTCAGGGACCATAAACATTCTTAATCGCATCCTACTCCCATGAAGGTAAAAACAAAAAACAAAAAATGAATCCAATGTGCGAGTGTGTGTATTCAAAATGTTGTTATATATTTTGTTATAAATACTCTCACCCATTTTTTGTTATATATTTCTATGCATACCTCTGTGCGAGTGTGTGTATTCAAAGTGCTCATTCTTGGCTAGTGCTAATACTTATGCAACTGATTCTGGCTTCAAGCTTACAAGCTCATCCCAGAAGATTCTAAAATGTTGTAAGCATGTTTTGGCAGTGATATACATCTGTAAATTTGAAGAACTACAAAATTCTGGCAATAATTAGAACTCTCAATAAATAGTTCCATTCAACCAATATATTCTTCACTCTTCTTCAGAGAAAAGAACCAAGGTCCATGATATATAAAATATACACTTAGAAGGTCAATCTACAAAGTTATCAAGGTCTAAGGATTTAGTATGACTTCTAATGTGCAAATACGAAGTTCTAGTTACTCACGATAATGCCAGCTGGAACCAAGAAGGCCAAAACATTGATATCCATAAAGTATGACGGCCACGTTGGGGGTTGATGCTCACTGACACTGGCAATGATAGGGATGTACTTGCTTGCATAAGTTCTGTTCAGTTTTAAAAGAGGAATATTCAGGTTAGAGGCAAGAAATTGGATTCCATCAACTGGTCAATTATATCTAGCAGATAAAAAATGCAAGAACATCGGGCAAATGCTGAAAAGAAATGCTTTTCAAATGACAAGCATTCTGAGTATCACAAAAGTAATAACGATACAATAACAAATGAATAATCAATCCTACAGCATCAAAACATAAAAACCCAACTAGCACGTATGAGGCCCAGGTGTCTAATGCCATAAAGAATCTCATCAATGGCTTCAAACTGTCATTAAAATAAATTAGATTACAATGACGCTTGCAACTGTGGAAGACATGTCTCTGGAGTCATTTTCCACATGAGTTCATTGATAATTTTGAATATTCGTCACTCTGTGATGATGAGAATAAAACATAGTTATGTAAAACTATGACAACTTAGATCACAAAAAAGGAGTTGCACAACCACACCCAAAGCCAATTATTTCTGCTAGAGAACAATGTTTTGTCAGACATTCAAAATTCAGAGAGATCAATCAAATCATCAATTAATAAGATACGGAAGATGGTTCCAAGTGGAATTTAATTACGTTACATTTGGCAAGAGAAGAGTTACCATCATAAGAATAACCAAACTGATTCTATTTCTCATTTTGTATTCGTTTCTATTAAAAATATCCACAAGTAGTATAAATCCTGGACATGAATTCTATAAATCATTCATTCAGGGAATGCATTCACTTCCTAAGCAACCTACTTGCTATTACATAAGGGGCTAAGCGAAGTCTTTAGTTACCCAAATTCAAAACATGATCTAGGACAAATGCTATTAAAGCTATTACATAGGTCCTTCAATGCAATTAATCATTTGCACAGTAGGGTGTTGCCCCACCTCACTTCCCCTTCTTTGGACGATAGGCGCTAGATAAGATCCATACTGCAGAGTGCAGATTACCTTCACTAATGAAAGTGGCAAAATTCCAAATGCTGCTTGCTTATGTTGGAAAGAGAGAATTTTTTTTTCACTGTGTAACCTGCCAACAGGACTTAAATATTAATGTTCACAAGAAAAAACATGGATTAAAAATTGCTCCAAAACTCATCTACCATTCCTTGGGTTTTGCCAGAAGGGACACTAGTCTGTTGAGATGCACCCTGAGTACGTGTTTCTTTTTCTTGACAAGAGCACCCTGAGTAAGTGGTGCCCCTTTAATATCATGAAATGTGAATCAGAGAACGTAAAGGAGAAGAAGAGCACCAAAGCTTGGAAAGTGAACTTCGTTAATCTTCAACCATGTTCACAAGTCTCCAGCTGAATTTCATATACAACCATCTTGACCGCATTCTTTAAGAACTATTAATGTAATTGACGTACAATAGAATGACGTAACACAATATGTCAAAGATAATAATGTACTCACAAATAGTGGGATACAATCTTGAAGTATGTCATCCCTGGCCGTACTTTAGGTCATTCACAAAGAGGAAAACATTAATTTTTGTATAAGAGCAAGACAGCTTAAATTAGACTGAGGGCAACTATGATTCTGTTATAATGTGGGCTTGGAGTCGCAGAAATTTTTTATGGCTCGAACACCAGACCTACAAATGGAAGCCAGTTGCTCACATCATCAACCTTAGAGAAAACCTAGGCCCTTGTAGTCCAAGCCCCTAAATGATTGTAGAAAGAAACATTTTGGCAGTAGCTCACTGGAAAATCCAGGAGGCAGGTGGTTTAACAAGAGAAAGGACTACCAAAACTTTTGTGAGGCTAGTAAGCATTTGCAACATAACGGAGGCAGAAGTCCTAGCCAGTGTTTTCAAAAGCAGACTGCCCAATGCCTGGGCGGCCGCCCAGGTGGTCTAGAAGGCCTGGGTGCATCGCCCAAGCCTAGGCGACCAAAATAGGCAGATATCCCTGGGCGCCCAACTCGGCACCCGAGAACCCGCCTAGGCGCCCACCTGAACCCGCCTAGGTGCCCGCCAAGGGGCGGAAATGCCCCTCGTTGAGGGTATTTTTGGGTCATTTTTTTAATACTAAAGGGGTAAAATTGTGGGTTTTAGGTTCATTTGAAACCTAAAACCCATTAGAGCCTATTTTAGAGAGAGAAAACCCCAAAAAAAAAATTCCTATTGGGCCGCCCAAGTTTTGAGCACCCGCCTAAGCGCTGGGCAGCCTGGACGCCCCCCAACGCTTTTTGAAACACTGGTCCTGGCCTCGCTAACATGCATCAGAGCTTTCTTCTACTTTTTATCAGGCCATGGTTGTCGAAGGCAATTTTCTAAACGCTACTAGTTGGGTCCCTACCGAGAAAAACACCCTAGAGGAAATATTCAAGAGAATTAAAGAGACGTTCCTTAGATTCCCTTTTCAGCTTTTTTGATAAGAATCTCATATTTCCATATTCTCAAGGAAGCTAATAGAAAGGTGGATTTCCTCACCAACTATTAACCTTTTTTAAACACTTACTATTCTCATATTTCTTTCTTACTTCTTTTCTTTTCTTTTCTTTTCTTTTCTTTTCTTTGTCTCCATGGGGTTAAGTTGCCTTGGTTGCTCTAATAAGCAAGTTGATGTTATGTTTAGTCTAAATTTTTATTTATAAACAGAAAAACCCAATATGGCAAACAAGTCATTAACCATGTGTATCAGGCAACATTCCTCAACTAAAACATGTGTACACAGTAGAAGTTATCTAAATGCAAATCAAAATTGATTAAAAACAAATAATAAATGTAAATTATAAAGTCCCAAAAAAAATATGACAAATAACAAATGGTAATTAAACAATATGAAGCAACAAAGGAAAGTGAGAATAGAATGCATATTTCAAAACTTCACATTTCCACCAAGAAGAAACTATTAGCTTCACTTGAAAGTAACAAAATATCAAGCAAAATGAATCTGAAAAAACTGCTTACGGGTCAAGAAGACTCAAACTGCGGCCACTCCACCCTTTTGTTGGGCTCGAAGCCACCAATGCCACAAGCACTGCTACCACCATGCAACAGACAGCCCTGAAAGAGAATACAGAAATCATATTTCACCGTACATAGAGATTCAAATGAGCTAGAATAATAGAAGCAACCATTAGCAATTAAAACATTATAGTTTGTTACTTTGTTATGCTACATTCAAAAGTAAGGAACCAAATCCTTTGACAAAGCCATGCAGCATTCCAATTTCCAACTCTAATTAACTTCAATTTTTGGAACATTCAGTTGTAAACCTTCTCATTATTTAAAATCAGTCACATTATAAAATTGAAACGCCATACTACATGCAAATACACCAACTATGAAACTAAGATTTCTTCTATGTACATTAGTCAGAGCTATGGTAATATGGTAAATATCCACATGACTTACATGCCAATAGACACCACAAGTGTCACAGCAACCTTAAACAATTTTGGAGAGAGAACTCCTTTGATGTAATACACAAGAGCCACCACATGGATAATAATAAATACCTACAAAAGAAAGTGCATTAGCTAACTGAGAACAGTATAACCCATGTCAAAAAAATACAAACTATTTAAGCTTTCCATTTATTACAAAAACTATAGTTTTCTTGTGCAAGTTGATCAAAACTAAATGAAGTCTCCAATATAAGTGTGGAAGAACAAACCAAAAATGACGCGAAGTGTTCAGATGTCAGCACTGCATTAAACCCAACAACCGGCACTAATGAGGCCAGCAAAGTTCCCAAGATGACCTACAATAACAGGAAAGGCACCAGAAAGGAGGAACATGAACTCAATGGAAAGCTGTATATATCAATCAAAATCAAGAGAACATTCCCCAGAATAACGATTACACAATGAAAATTCCATATAGTCTAGAGTTAAAGATATGAGACACTTACAAGAGGAGCATAAGCAATGTACAATCTGGGAGAGTAGCGCCCCGTAACAATGCACAGAAGCACATGCATGGGAATCAAGTTGATAATGAATGTATAACCTCCCCAGGAACACACCTACACCAGTAAAGAGCAAAATAGACATTTCCTCATTCAAAAACTATGAAGAAAAGAGACGTAAAGCCTGAACCTCAGGTCTTCAATAAACAGAAGTTACCCTGCATATACAAAAGTCAGGAAAAAAAAAAGAAGAAAAGAAATAGTTACCATATAAAAATATGAGAGAGCATTCAAAGTAGCATAGAAGAGAGATCCGGTATTCAAAGTCTGCATGCATTTGAAGCTTTTGTTAAACAAGAGTTCATACTACAGCCAAAATTCATATTTCATATGTTCAACGCGTGTGAACACACAAAAAACAAAGAAAATATAAGAAGTCTGCAAAGATAGAATGCAAAACACACGCATGCACAAACACATGCACACAAATACGCGAGCACACACGCACACACACACAAGAGAACAAACACAAACACATAATATATATATGAAGTCAACCTTTATGTAAAGATAGAATGTAAAAACTAATGCGAAAATTGCCACAGCTTCATTGTCGTAGCTTCCAGCCACAGATCGAGAAATATAGGACGGCACCTGCAAAGTAAACATGATGGTCATTGGAAATTGCAGGTTGACTATGGCAGCAAAGACAAGAGACCCCTTTCAAGCACTGAACCCGAAATAGAGCACACTATCATTAAACATCAAAAGAGATATTTTCATGAGAAGAAAAGCACATGATTGGCACCTATGGGCAACACATGTCAAGAGGAACCATAATTAGTACATTTTTTACCATTCAAAAAAGTTTGCTTTCCTCAGATTTTCAATTGCAATAACCAGGATTTTTAGAGGAGTTAAAAATGAATTGCCTTCCCCATTCCACAAAATCACCTCCTTGGTTACTTTCTGGGCCACAAATCATAAGGCCTTCAAAGGGGTATCCGCAATGTCTTTTGTCCTCAATTGGGAGCACGCCATCCACTTCCAGCCACATCGGGTAGGGAGAGCAGAAAATTGGTCTCCTCCTGCTGGCCTTGTCAAACAAAATTTTGACGGGTCAGTCATTCCGGAACAGGAGGGGTATTCAGAGATCACCTAGGTAACATCCAAACCTCCTTCTCGGGGCTCAAATTGCTTAACCCTGGCTGGGATCTCCCCCTCTTACTAGAAGGAGATGCCAGAAACATCATTCTTTGGGCTGCTGGTGTGTCAACACCCCCTTGGTACCTTGCTTCGATCTTCGACAAGATTTCTCACATTCGTAGGGACATTCCTATCTCTTGGAGGCATACTTGGATGGAATCCAACACCCTTGCAGACCAATTGGCTAGAGAGGGAGAACTCGCACAGGTGGTGGAACACTGACCGCATGGTTCAGAGCTTCTGTACTTCTCGGCCACCACAGGGGTGATAATTAGTCCCCTCGCCAGGACCCGTCCATTCTCTGGCTCTTTTTTGTACATCTCTGTAATGGGCATTTCATATAAGCCCCGATCATTTTTTGTATAGGGTTTCAGGTTACCCTCCAAAGACTAACCTAATTTTTTGCTGCGAGGCCCGGGCTGCGGGCCTCCAGGTCTTATCCTGTATTTCCTCTTCCTCTTAATGCAGTAAACAGTTTCAAAAAAAAATATTGCAATAACCAGATATATTTTTTGATATTCAGGCAGCAAGGTCTTTAGCACTTAAAAATCAATTTTAATTCTAGTAATTTTTTGCAATTTAGAACTCTATGACTTCTTTTTCCAAACATAATTTTGAGTATGACACCATTCAAAAGCCATAGCACGTCACCAACATTATTCAAGATAAGATTGGTCAAAGCATAAGTACTTGGGACAACCCATCAATACAAAAACTTATCAAAGAGTTTGATGATTTAAGGGTATGAGGGAAGTTCAACCTTTTTCAATGTAGCAGAAAACCATCTGAATGGAGAAACCATGGAAGAAAAAAATATCATATTTAAATAGAAATGAATTCTATACTCAAGCCGAAACAAGGCTGATCAAACCAGACATGCTAAAGAGCTACAATCAAAATCTCTGAATGCCAGGCAATTAAACATTTCATGAAACTGACCTATCAAACTTGCCAAAAGATGTATGATTTTGAAATAGAGAAAAAATGTATAGAAATACAAAGGATAAGAAAGTTACCATTGCTATAAGAGCAGCAGCCGTCAGGCCAGCTCCAACACCTTTGACTTCCTACATGGGGAAATAAAATAAAATAAAAAAGTCAAGATACAAAACATCAATTATATGTTAATTAAAAAAAATATCTGAGCCAGAAAAGAGTGTAAGAGATCAATGTAAAGAACAAACCTTTGTCAAAAGGTATGTTGCCCAAGAAGCAAAAGCTGAGAATATTGGAGCAGTGAATACACAAACAGTTTCCACCGAGAGTGGAATGTTAAGAGAATTCAAAAACCTGAAAAAGGTAAACAAGGCTTCTCAACAATGAGCAACTTCAATTGAGATTCTTGACAGCCAACCATAGCCACATGCAAAAAATTCCAAAATGAAAATAATAAGAAATAAACCTATAATGTGGTTCACATCCTTAGATAATCATTAATTGGATGCTAGGCAAGAAAATAAGAGACAAATTCATCACCATGAACAAACACCAGCAAGAGAGAAGTAGGAAGCAAATGTTCCCATGCTAAGAGATCAGAATACATCAAGCAGCTAAAAAACCAGATCCCTGGAAACTGGTTGTTACATTTACCAAAATCTCAAATAAAAGAAAAACAAGTGAAACTTTACCTACCACCATATGGAACCTGCTGTTAATGTCAAACCAGGGTACACTGTTCCACCAATCACACGGCCCAAAGGATACCTAGAGAGAAGAAATTGAAATGCAATTGAATAATCTCTACCTCAAAAGTATGAAAGAACCAGATTAAATATAGCTTATTCCAACATCACTTTACCAGGTGCGATCATCAAACCAGTTCCAGAAGTCATATATACCATTCTTTGTTAGAAACTGGACACCAAAAAAGGAAGAAAATGTGGGGTTAGGTCGAAACCTGTAAAAATTCCATCACTATAGCAGCAAATATATATTGCAGTCCCACATACACTAGCCTGAGTCAATCATGCTTTACTGCTACGCAAATGGAACATCAGAAGGTGTGAGCTTCAACAATTGGATTCAATTTCACATTAATTTCAAAAGCATGCCAGCATAAAACAACACCTACAATAACTAAGCAGAGATCACTCAACACGTATAAACAAGAAATTTGCAATCCCATAGATACATTAACAGGTGAATAAGGAACCTTACACACAAAATCCACTGGCTAAACGCAATTACAATTTAACAAGTTCAATATAAATTAACTGGAAATATCTCCTTTAATAATATCTGATGCATATGCAATCCAACAACTAACTATAAAATGATCAGTGAACAGTTGTTACCAAAAAGAAAGAAAGAAAAAATCATCAATAATTCTAAATAGAAATGTTCATCGTCCTAATTTTTCTTGATGTTGTTTTTCACAAATTAGTATACATTTCTGAAATTTTCAATCAGAAATATTTAATCATCCCAATCACTAAACACATTAGCCATTCAAATATATCTATTGTACCTCTTAGCAGTGAAAAATCAACAGAAGAGAAACAGAATTCACAAACCTGAGTAACTCTGTAATTGAAGTAAGGATCAAACTCATGGATCACACTCTCGTACTTGATAACCTAAAAACAACAAAATGCAACCAAAAAAGCATTTTTACACCAAAATATAATCCGAATTCACAAAACAGCCAGACAGAAACAACTCAAAATCTTCACGTTCCACTAAAATATAAGTTCAGTCAATGTAGATCTGATCTAGAACTGGATGAAATGAATAAGAAAGCTCACAGAGAAGAGTCGAATGGAGAAGGCAAGGACACCGATGAGAATGAGGATGAAGACAGAGAGCACGTTCCCAAAGGCGTCCCTGAGAGTAGCCATTGATAATCCAAGAGCTTTGACAGACAAAGAAATAGGTTTTCTAGGAAACCTTTAGGGCACAAAATGAGGTGAAACCTAGAATTTTAGAGAGAGAAAATTAGGGTTTTCATGGTTGCCTTACTCCATGGGAAATGCAGAGGAAGAAGTCATGGAGGAAGCGACTCTGAGTCGACAACGGCCGAAATAAACGTTAAATATCATATGTAAACCAAAACATAATTAAAATGGTTTGATACGGCTGCCGCCTTATCAATTTATATAAAGCCTCAACTCATAACTCATCAAAAATTAGAATTCAAGCATCGGAAAACCTTGCAGGAATCATCTCGGCTTGAACATTAAGGTTGTGAGAAAAAATTAAGACTTTAAATTCTAAAAATAATGTATATTATAACAAATTATTTAAACCATTTATTTCAGCTTAAAAATAAATAATTATATATCCACAAGTTTTATATCATGTTTTGAGTTTGAAATGTTATTGTCGGTTTTCAAATTTGATTTTAATTCGCTCACGGAGATTTAATTTGCCAAAAGTGCTTTCTTGACAAGGATTTAAGGTGAGGCTTTATTTATTTTTATGACGCCAAACATAATTTCAAAAATTATGAAAACGCTCACCAACTTACTTTTTCTTCTCACTTTTCCCCATTTTTTGGGCGAGTTAGGTGGGACGTGAAGTCGTGCACAAAAAGAGTGCTAAATTCCTAGTTTCCAAACCCTAACTTGATTAATAAAAGAATAATTGCATAGGACAATTGACTCGGAATATTAAAAAATCATTAATTTCATTGAGAAGAATGGATAAGTTTTAAGTGAGTCCCCCGACTCATCTATTTACATGAGTTTGCCCATCAAATAACTATCTTAGAGATAGATTTTGGATTCAAAATTTTAAAGATTAAAAATCTCCACCATGGAGAACACGAATATAAAAAACTAAATAAAATTTAAAAATAAAGATTCATATTTTAATGTTTTTTAAGGACCATCTATTTCAAATTTTGATGGGACCACCATTTTTACACATCCATCTTTTGGATGGATGTCCCATAGACAGGGAGATAAATGTGGAATTGTGTACGCATATCCTGCACTTTTCCTTAACAAATTAGCAAGTGCAGAAAAACCTATGTTAGCATTTATTATTTCAAAAGAGCATATCCACCATTCACTACCTTAAGTAAAACCCTATCTATGGACTGAAGCTTCTTCAACCAGCCTTGAAAAAGAAAATCGGCTGCGCTTTGTATGTGCTTGAAAATATATCATCCTAGACATACTCTAATTTCTGTGTAACTGGAATTTTATGTGATCACCACATATCAATGAAGCTAAAAAGTAAGTTATATAGAACAGCTGCGAGACTAGTTGTTCTCAATGGAGCGGAATGTTGAGCAATCAAAAAACAATAACCCACAGAATAAATGTAACGAATATGAGTATGTTGTGATGGATGAGTGGCAACACAAGAAATGATAGAATTTGAAATGAATATATTTAGAAAAAATTACGAATGACATGAATAGGTGATAAGATGAGCGAAAATAGACTTCGGTGGACTGACCAAGTGTGGTGTCGACCCAGTACAACATCTGTTAAGAAGTGCAAGTTAGTTCCCGTTGAAAGCTCAAAAAGGACAAAGGGTAGCCCCAAAAGGACATGGTTGAAAGTACTTATACCGCATTGGAGATATGAACCTTAATAGAGCATAATGACAGAACATGATTCGTGTAGCCGACCCCAATTAGTTGAAAAAAAGCTTTGACGATGATGATGACATAATCCAATTTCTAGTAGTTAGATCTAAAAGTTCATAAACTAAACTTTACTTCTTCTTATTTTTTTTCAAATATTGAACAAGTTGCCATAAGTGGATTCTAAAATTTATAGGGAAAAGTTTATATAAGGTTGCAACCTTAAAATGTAGAATCATAGATGCACCTAAAAAATTATCAGAAAGGTTGTTTTAATGTTAAAAAACCCTCTAATTGATTATCTTGACATCAAGATGTATAAATATTAAAAAAAAAAAAAAGTTTTTGAGTCCCAAAAATATTGCATCTTATAACACATTATCTAGATCGTCAATTTTCAAGATTTTCATATGTTCATAGATTTACTTGATTTTAACCATTTTTTAAGTTTATAATTTTATAATTAGATATGAAAATAGTTTTTAAGATAATCCTAAGAATTTTTTACAACAAAAGTATATGTTATGATAAAATTTGGAGGTGCACCTTAATTGGATTGCTTAAGGTTGCAACCTTATAGAAACCATATCCAAATTTATAGTCCCTAAATTTGAGAAACTTTTTTTTGAACTTTGGGCTTAGGTCAATGAGATAAATGCCACCCAATTTCACGTCCAATGATCAAGATTAATTGTGACAACCTTGTACTAAAGGTAAATGACCTCATGGTATACTGTTCCTATCTAATTTAACTTTGAAATACCCATCAAAATACGCATGATTGTGATATGAAATAATTACAAACGTATATAATGTTAAATAATACATCTCTAATAGATATCTTATTAAATTTATTTATTTTTAAATAAAAGATTAACTAATGAAAAAATAATTGTAAAGAGCTTAAATTCCTAAGATTAATTGAGTCAGGCGCATAGCTTTTTATGATGGAACTTTCCTTTGCTTTTGGTATGTTGCTTCTTTTGTTTGTACTCTTGGGTATCTCAAGCCCACTAGGCGGAGCTCTCTGAGTATATTGCTTCTTTTGTTTGTACTCTTGGGTATCTCAAGCCCACTTAGTCGAGCTATCTTTTTCATGGCGTCTCAAGCTCAAAATGTGCCTCTCTCTCTCTCTTATGGCGTCTCAACATCTCTCTCTCTCTCCCTAACATCTGTATTCCCTCTCTAACATCACGCATGTCAATTCGCCCAAACGAGACCATACCATGTTGCTTTGTAGTGGTGCAAATCGGAATCAGGCACTAAACACTAGATGTCGGATTCCGATTGGCTCCACCGATCCCAAGTTAGATTGGGCCATATATTACTAAGACGTAAGAACTAAAACAAAATGTAAAACCCAAAGTACTCAAGACGATTTAAGGATCCCTAAAACAACCCCCCCCCCCCCCCCTACGTAAAAAGTAAAAATCAAAGAGAGAATGTGGCTCCCTGAAGTATTCGGGGTGACAATACCACAACGTGACATCATCATCGTCGAAGCCTTTTCAAACTAATTTGGATCGGCTATATGAATCTTAGTTCGTTATTTTATTATAGTGAAGGGCATAACCTCAATAAAACTGTAAATTTGTATATATTTTTTTACGACTTGAAATTATGTTCTTTTAGGCAGACCCTTTTTTTTTTTTTGACCTTCCACTTCGTGTTGTATTGGATTTGTGTCAAACAGTGCCACAACGGGACATCTAGAATTTAATCTCGCTAAGTTTCAAATTAAACCCAAAAAAAAAAACAGCGAAGAAGAAGTTCATGCATGCTTTGTGGCCAATGTTACTTATAAAAACGCATATCGAATGAATACACCCATAATTTGCGAAGTTGAAGGCCCATTTGGATGCCATGACAACTACATTCCAACTTTATCTTTTTCTTTACTTTTGTGGGCAAGGGTTTTTATACTTCCCCTACATTCCAACTTTATCTTTTTCTTTACTTTTGTGGGCAAGGGTTTTTATACTTCCCCTAACATCGAGCCGTACAATTTTGATCAAAAAGTTACTCACCGTTTGATCTTAAATTCGACGTCTCGAATTATTTTATTTTTAACTTTTTTTTAGAAAAATTATATGGATATAAAATTTAGTACGTGTCATCTTCTCATTAAGGCGCACCTATAAACAATATTAAAAATAATTTTTAGATAAAATATAATAACCAAAATACCCCTTGAAACTTTCAAGGGTATTTTGATCATTTTATTTTATTGAGAATATTTTTTATATATTTTTTAGTAGTACAAGTTTAATAGAAAATTCGACGTACAAAATTTGATATCAAAATAGTTTATATAAAAAAAATTAAAAATAAAATAGTGTTCGAACGTAATAATGTGATTGAGGCAATCTTAACCCTCCATTCAAAATGGAGGGTTGGATAAAGGAAAATATATATAAGTTTTATGTTGTAGGGAAAGCATAAAAAGCTTGCCCCAAAATACAAACCCTCGAAACCTGCGAGGATATAACAATAAAGACAAAGTTCATATAAAGTTGAAGTTCTAAACAATCAAACTAAAATGCACCTCAAAAATTCACTAGAAGAGATTGTTTCAATGTTAAACCGTATCCAGACATTGAGTTACGTGGACATTAAAAAAAAACCTTGAATCTTGAAAATAGTGTATCTTATACCGGTAATTTTCAAGTTTTTCAAGTATTCATAAATCTATTTGATCTACACTATTTTTTACGCTTTAAAATTTATAACTAAAGATAAAAATAAAGTTATATTTTCGGTAATGAAACAATATCTTTCTATACTATTTGAAGGTGTGCCTCACTTTGATTGTTTCGGGCCTTAGCCTTATACAAACCACACCCCAATACTAGCAATAATGAGTTTTTTCCATCTTCTTTTTCACCCTATAGGACATGGGTAAAAATACACGCCCAATCAAACCCCGACAATATCCACATTTTCATTAGATAACATGTAAAAGTGTTTTTTATTTTTTCTTCACTGATAAGGCTAAGATGATAATGATGACGATACACTCATCAAGCACACCACCCATGTTGGCACAACTCTAGGTGCCAAAAAAGGCCATCCCAAACAGTACTTAAGATTATCCAGCCAAAGAAAAGCAAAAGCTAAGACGAAAGAGATTTCAAATAAAATTAGAGGAATCTGAAAACACCTATTTCAACAAAATACATGCATAACACATTTCTTTCTGAAAACTGCAATTCCGCAAAAACCTCTCTCTCTCTCTCTCTCTCATCGGGACTAATTTAAAGACACCAATAAATTTTTATCACTCTTGTATCATTGCTCGACCAAGATTCATTGCTAGTGCCAATCTGATGGAGCTCAGAACCTGATGGGGAAGATCTGAATCACAGTAATCAGGGCGTAGCCTCGCCAAAGAGAGCTCTTGAAGCTTGTTCAGCAACAAGTTGGTCTGAGAGACATTGAGGAGAGGGCGGTGTCTCCAGTTCAACAACTTCATCTGGACGTTGTGTTCATGTTAGAGACAGGAGAAAGCAGACAGATGACAGAGCAAGTCATAATAGTAGCTTTTATAATAAAAATAAATAAAACAGAAAGTATCAAATCTTAATGTGAGAATCCTGAGAAGATACAAATCTCATAATATCGAGTATAATCTTCAACACGGAAGCTATGAGAAAGAAAAGAAGGTCATTTTTGGGTTTCGTAATCTAGAATATACTTCTTACACATCAAAATGGGGAAAGCTTCACTGACATTTTCAAAGGAGAATGGCAAAAGCATATATTTCTAACACAGTTTCTATATCATGTATATTTACTCACTGAATCTTGTAAGAGAGGCAGCCAAAAGCGTTGGGGTGTTGATGGGCTCTTCATGAGCTGTAAAAAGTTGGTTCAGATTAAGTAAGCATTCCAAACAGTTTGTTTAAAATTTGAGCCACCAATATAAATTAGTTTAAAAACATTCTGGCAGAGATTAAATCAAAGCTGTTCCCACAAAAGAAAATAGTCATTAGGATATCGATTCTGTGAGCTGAAGAGCTTATACTGTAGCACAAGCTCAAAACCCAGATTTAAGTAGAAGGGGCGATATGGACTGCCAAGAATGGCACACACATTCTGCCAACATTTGCACTTGTATCCATTTTTTCATTTTTTAGCGCCTATGCGATGCACACATTTTTGCAAAATTTGGGGTCCACAGGCCCACCTTTTAAAAGGAAAAAAAAAAGAAAAAAATCAAACGTACAACATTGTTCAGTCACTTCTGGATGCTTCAATCCAGCCATTGGGCTTAAACATGGGCTGGTGGGCCTATAAGATCATTTTCCTTGTGATTACATCACATTTGAGAAATGTTTAGTCTAAATCTTGCACTGATTTGCCAAAGTTAGTGATAATAGATCCACGAAAATAAGTTTCTCTCTCAGTTGCTTAGACCACTGAATTTCTACAAATGTTCTAAGCTAGGGGATGTTGAATGGGGAAAATCGACCAGGCAAATGAACCAAGCTTGAAAGAAGCAAGTGATCTTTGACATACTCAAGATCTCACTTAAAAGCAAACAAAATCATTTTATTTTTGTAGAAATGCAAAAAAACTATATTAAGCAGTTTTTTGTGGCTAAGAAACCTCAGGAAGCATACAAGTATGAGAGCATCCACAGCTTGAACAGCAGCATTGACAGCTTTCTCATTACTAGGTTCAATGCTGACATCATCTGGAATCATCTGAAGTGATTTCTTGAAATCTCTGTACCTAAAAGTTACATTCAAAGGTTATTTACTCATCTATAGAAATAAAACCTACTGAACTATCTAAATTATACTAGCAAAGTGCAATGGTAAATACTTATGAAGAAACTCGAGTCCTCCCAGATTTTCGCCCTCGACACCCAGCAACTCAATCAATCGTTCCCATTGCTGTAAAAACAACATGAAAAACTAAAATAATAGAGTAGGAGTCTAGTCACATAATCTCTTGAGAGCAATAGAATAACTAATTATAAATGACAGTATATATAAAAGGAACTCATCTAACTATATTGAAAAGAAAAAGAAAAAAAGATAAGATACTTTGTGTAACACATCGAATAAAAAACCCAAAAGAATTTACCCTAAAACTTTCATCAGAAAATGACTTCCCAACAAGCCCAAATAGCTGCTGAGCAATTTCATTGAGTCGAGCTTCATCACCCGCTCGTTGAAGCCAATAGATCCCAGCACCTTTCCTGCCATGCTTCCAATGATGCATTCCAGCAATCTGTCCAAGAGCAGTAAAACTTGGGGTTCAAAAACAAACGGATCACTAGAAAAACTCGGAGTTGAAAATATTAATGCATATACCACTTACTCATCCATTGTTACACAATGCCCACAATTTCAAATTGTGAGAAGTTTATTATAATCTTATGCGAAAACACAGCCCGTGGTCATAACTGCATATCAAGTAGACAGCAACAGAGAGATAGTTGGACCCACCATGGGGTTTGTGTTCTGTTCTGGACGATCCAACTCTCTCCATTATCATTCGTTTGAATAGACGATGATTAGTGGTTGATTACCCAATGGACTGTGGTTTACCAACAGTCCACAGGGTCATCGTATACTTTCCCATCAAACTTGCAGTCCTTGCCTATAGGAATATTTTTCTTTTTCATTTTGCACAATATGGGCGAGTAAGTACTTGACTACAAGAACAGTAAGCACCTTCATAATGCTTGACTCGATTTGACCAAGCTCATATAATCGGCAAATCTCAATATTCTGTTCCAGTAGCAAACACATCATAGTTAAGTACTGTAAAAATAGCAGAAACAGATAAATTAGCAGTAGCTGAGAAAAGAAGAAAGATGAAACTTAGCCCAATCTCTTATTATAAGCACAACTACCTTAAGTATTTGGCGATTATGTCGCATAGGTTGCTTATACAATAAAAGTTCCAATAATCCCAAGCCCTGCTTTGGACATGCTGCAAGATATATTGGAGCAAGCTGCATGGATATAAACAACCCTAGAATATCAGACATTCAGTGGTGAAGGAGACCAAAATATTGACAAAATAATGAACAAAGTATGCAATTGGGGGCACTGGTTCAATGTGGTTAAGATTTTCCAAAAACAAACAGCTGAGATTTTCGCTAAACATCTTTTTCTCAGGGATAATCTCTTTGTAATAGTACCAAAGAATGCCACAGAAAGCTTGCAATGGACAAAATAAATAGGAACTATACCTACTTACATGTTAAGAGATCTAAAAATCACAGATTAAAAAATACCAACCCATACAAGTAAATATCATTTTGCGGAACATCTAGGTAAGAGAAATGATAAGACAATGCATAATGCAGGGTTTAAAACAGGTAAGGCTAAAGACATTAATCAGTACATCATGTTCATTGCCATTTCTCGATCAATAAAAGATAAGATGAGTTAGTTCATCAACTATGACCTCCAATTCTTAAATATAAGTACAGTTATGCATGCATACTGATGTGCATGTGCAACTGGTAGACATCCAGGTTTGGTGAGGGAAGTCAAGGGTTCAAGCCCTTGAAGTTTGTCCCATGAAACCTACACTTTCTTAGGATATGGGACGCCGGCTTGATTGGTTACAATGTTGACCATAGAAACACCTATGTTCCAGGTTTGATTTCCATGATGACCTACTCCAAAATAAGTGATTAAAAAAAAAGGCTCTGAATCGAGCTTAACTGCATTGCAGACCTAGAGATGCTAACTGGATAGCAGCAGGTCTAGTTTACACTAGGAAATAATTCACTTCTGTTATCTGCCGCACCTGTTGGAATTAAAAATATAGTGAATTCCTAAGTTAATACACAAATACAAATGGTAGTTTTCTAGTCGAGCATCAAGAGACAGCAGGATAGCTCCTAGGAGCAAGAGAACGATATTAGCATCATTTAAAACACAAGTCATCAACTTGACAGTTGGCTCGGCATGCAAACCTAGCCACTAGCTATTGAATACTCACTTGCCAAGTTAAAGCATGAGATGATAAAACTTGAGCATATACGAGGCGATGAAGTTCCTCTATGCTAATTCCCCCCAAGTTATAGCGCTGCTCATGCAAAACAACCTCTGCTTGGTGGCTCTTGGCAGTCAACAACTCTATGGCATGCACCACCATCCTGCACACCATAAAACACATAGACCATAGTGCCATATAAATTCTGAATAGACATGATATGCATGACTAACATAAAGCTTGTAATCTGTATGACCACTAAGTTACAGCAGTCATCCAGCACCCCCAAAAACTCACTGTAATAAATAAACCCAAACATTAGGAAATGTCTTTCAGTCTTTCTTCTCTCTAAGCAAATAGCCCGCTATAAGAGAACCTAAAGGCTCACCAAGGACCAAATGTTCTTGAGCATTCTGCTAAGACAACCTGAAGAAAACAAAAACATCAACACATTAGTTGACATATAAATCCTGATAAAATGCACATGAAGCAACAAGAATCAAAGTTTACACTACCTCAGTATTATCTCCAAGTATTCCAAGAAGAAGATCCATCAACCGGTTCCCATCTGATGTGGGTTTCAGCAGGATGCACTTCTGAGCTAAACTGTGCATGGCTTCCAAACCCTGGAAAAAAATAAGCAGCTAAAGTCACTAGTGAGGAGAGTTTGGAGATGAGAATATGAAAGGAAACCCTTGGGCTCTGGACACAATTGAGCATCAACGGAGTAGAATATGCATTCACAAGCTCTAGGATTCTAACTCCAGACAATTTTCTCTTCTTCTTTCTTTTTCCTTCCTTTCTCGTTCGGGAAGGGTGGGTGTAGCGCGGCACAGATGTTCAATGTGAAAATGGTCTTGTAATTACAAGACAGTGGGGCAATGTGAGTGGTTAAGCAGCTATTAACCAAGTATACTGGTTGCATATCTGAGTGGTTAAGCAGCTATTAACCAAGTATGCTGGTTGCATTTCCGTTCTAGGCTTCTACTTAATGGCAAGCTGTATTTTAAGGACTAAAAGTACTCTAATACTTGTGATACGGATTCATACCAAAATATTTATTCATTTATTTATTGAGGGATGAGTTTCATACCAAAACATTAATAATGGTCAATCAATAAATAACAAGACAAGACTGCAAATTTGAGTTTTTGATGTTTTGCATACTTATTTTGAGTTTTTGACATTGTATAGGATTAAACAAATATCTCGGTGAGTACAAATATCTGCCTCATCTCTGACACATTTATACAATATAAGTTTAGAGAACTTCAATCAAATGTTCTATGAAATAAAGAAACTTAACATTAACTCAAAGCCTAAATAAAATATATACGTTAGAAAGGCCACACCTCCTAAACAGAGAAAACGTACAAAAATAATCTACAACACTCATCATAAACGTTCCTTCTCGTATGTGAATTTTTTTGGGCGGGTAACTCTAAATTGTTAAAAGAGGGAAACATGGTTTTGATAGGCACTCTAACCATTGTGAATGGTCTGATGAAAAGAAAGTGTGATGTAAGCAGCTCCATCCATTGGTAAGTGGCAGCACAAAGATCGTCCAAGTTCCCCAGCATAATTTGTAACAAATTCTTCAAGCCATCCATGGTTTGACGATGATCACATTTTACCCAAAATGCACTGCAATCAAGCTTAGCTACTTGGCCTCGCCATTTCTCCCAAGCCTATACAACATCAACCAAAATTCATAACATTTACAAAGGAAAGTATGAGCCACACAAGCATCATAAACCCTTATACCTTTACAAAATCAGGCTTAGTATCAAAGCACTGTCCTAATCCCCCAGCTCGTAACTCTGGACGCATACGTGGCATTGTTGAAACAAGAACAGCAATGGCCTCAACAAGTCCATTTTCAATCTGTTACAAGTATACACAAGCAGAAAATTGATGGTTTGTTCACCTCTCTTCCAATTTACGTTATACTTGTTTGTTTTGTTACTCCAACTGAACTTTTGCAGCTTCATAGTATACTGTACAAACCTCGCGGTTGTCAATCTGATCAAGCTGATAAGATCCATGCAACCTCAACAATTTCACCTAAAAGAAATCATCACAGGAACTTCAAATGGAAATGAAGCATTGCATAATTGAAATTTTTTTCCACTGATCACACTTCACAAAACAAATAGTAAAAACTCGAACACTAGAAATTTTTTTTAAAACTAACCACAATATCAAGCCATCCAACTGCGAGTGCAGATGCAATTGCTTCCCAGTACTCTTTGGAATCCTCAATGAACTGTTTAACAGAGTTATCAAACAATCATATATTTGAAAATATCACAACAGCTGGAAAAAATCAAGAAAAAAGTTTATATAGAGCCAAGGCTCAAAACAATAAAATTAGTGCCCACTTAAAAAAATTCACTAGAAGAGTTGTTTTAATGCCCAAATATCCTCAAATTGATCATCTCGACATCAAGATGCATGGACATGAGAAAAAAAATGGATTTCAAGTTTTGGAAGTGGCGCATCTTGTAACGCATATTTGGATCGCCAAGTTTCAAGATTTTCAAGTTTTCATAGATCTGCTCGATCTACACTATTTTTTAAGCTTTAAATTTTATAATTAAAGATGGACATATATTTTAAGGCTATCATAAAGACTTCCGGTATTGAAACCACATTTCTCGACACTATTTGAAGGTGCGCTTTACTTTGATTGTTTAAAGCATTGGCTCTATACAAATCGCACCCAAAAAAAAATAGACAAAACTCCATATCACATACAGTATAAAGTAACACACTAATAATGAAGCAGCAAACATACAATTAACTGATTTTAGCCCATCAGAATTAAAGAAAATATCAATAATCACTTCAAAATTGAAAAGATCAAACTCATCCGAGGCTTATCCAACTCAAATATTTAAATAAATAATTTTTGTTTTTTATATTCTATTTTTCAAAATAATTTTACGAACACTTAAACTCAGAAAAGAGTTATATTTGTCTTCCAAGAACATGGCAGGTGTCCAAACCAACTGGAATTAGATGAGTCTCAAGTCCTTTCCTGTCCTGCTCAAGTTTCCATGCATGCATGTGAGCGAGTTTTTTTTTTTTTTTGGATAATTCAGTGGGGATGATGAGCCCCTACCCGTTTTTTTAAATCTTTAGGGGTTTTGAATGCGTTAGGTGAGAATAGAAGCCTAGACCTTAGCTGGGGGGTTTTGAATGCGTTAGGTGAGAATAGAAGCCTAGACCTTAGCTGGGGTACAAATGGTGCTACCAACACGACCCCAACCCCAATGTTATAAGCAAGTTCATAACATTTTACTATTTTACATAGGGGACTGTATGTGTCGCACTCTCCAGCCAGAAAGTAGCCCATGTAAAAAACGGAAGTTGCTGAAAAGATCACCAGGGGGTCAAACCTGCAGCTCAACAAGTTTCTTTTGCAAAGAAGCAAGCTTTGAATGAACAGTCATATCTGTCCCAGAAAGGAGACTATCATAATCCTGCAAATAAAACGCATAATTAGCTATTAGAAATTGCAATGACCATTTTCCATTTTAAAAGAGAGACAATCTGAAAGTGCAGGAAAAACAACAGAAAGATAGAATATTACTGCTAACCAATCAACAAGACGCTCTGGAAGCCAAGAAAGTGAGAGCTTATCCACATAAAAAAATTCCATCAACTCCCATGCAGCCTTCGAAGAGGTCGGTTTCTCAGATGACTGCATTAACCAAACCTCTCATTTTATAATAGAATGTAACTAGGGAAATATTATAGATATGAAATAAAAAATGCCCCTTGTCAGTATAACATTCTGATGTTAAAATGAAAGCAAATGTTAATACAATGCCTGGTTCAGGTTCAATCGATTTGTATAATTTACACAATGCTAACCAATAACCCATTATCTGCAAACGTCAAAATAAACAAAAAAATAACATATTTTAAGCATATTGCAATAGAACCAGGTTCCCCAATACAAAAACAAATAAACAGCTTTCCTGGTGCAAGATCCAAACCAGAAATATGTACAGTTGTGGATTCATATTTGGTTAAAATTTATAATAATAATAAAAAAAAAACCAATAAAGGCTGCAGCATTACCTTTAGAAGAGCTTTTGGATCTTCAATCACTGAAACAGGAGAAGACTTCAAATTTCCCAGCAAATCCCTTATATGTCTACTGTACTCCAAAACATGCTGCCACCTGTAGACATTAGACAGCATGTCGTATCCACGAGAGGAAAAGTAACCAATAGTTTCTTTATTACTTTAATTGGTGAAATTAAAAAAAAAAAGTTAGAAATCGTAAGCCAAAGAAACTGAAATAGAAGATAGAAACTCACTTGACTTGTCCTGATATAAAGTAGGATTTTTGCATGCAACCAACTAGTAAAATGTACCATCAATAAATAACAAAATGATGCCAAGAAGTGCATATGTAATTCAAAGAGGGCAGCAGATGCTCAGTTGCTAACTTTAAGTTAAAAACACAATCAACAAGGTGGCTCTTTAAAGTTTTACCAGTAGGTGACACCCAATTGATTATTGTTACTATATAAACGAGGACCATATTACCCCACAAACTACCTCTCAGATATTTGACAAGAGACACACGACTGTATAAGATAAAGATCTAAAATTTCAACAGGGTTTTTCATTTAATGGACCCAAAATGAATCACTTGAAATGCCAAAATGCTATTTCTTCATTTTCTTAATTTTCTTGGTAAAAAGCAAATCATGCTATACTCAAGGGTAAGAATGTAAATCCTTTTTCTTTTAATAAATACGTGTGTTCCTTCTGGTTGCTCTGGAATTTGATGTTCTTAAGGTAGGCTACTTCAAGGATAACGCTCTTATGCAATACATCCATTTTCAATTCAGGAATTAATGCTGTTCTGTTTGAGGTAAAAGAACAAATCCTATAATTTGCCCTGTCTTCCACATATTGTGGAGAACTACAGCACTTTCTTATAGATAACTGAGTCAGACCTTCATTTTCTCCTTCCATATATAGAAACCTGGAATCAGGTTTTGGATCATCCACTCACCGTACCAATCTGAATCACACTGAATAGTAATAATAAAATGTTAATATCATGCAGTTCTCTTTTTTTCGGTCTGGGGGATGGGTGGGTGTGTGTGTGTGTGTGTGTGTGTATGTGTGATGGATTGCCCACCAACCAAATCTTACTGTTCCTTTGAATTAGGATCTACTCATGGGTCACTTAAATAGGAAATGAGAAAAAAGATGTAACATACTCAAGCCTTTTCCTGTAGTGTTGCACAATGTTGTAGTGCAAATAACAAACGATAATGCTGAATTGCATCACAATTAGATAACTTTAACTTGATGGGAATAACATGATTAAAGCCAATTCACATGAATAAAAGAGGTAGCCAACAGCCCTAAGAAAGAAATTGACATAGACATAGAGATGTGGCTCATATTGCAATTTCAGCCCTCTAGAAGTCTCAAATATTAGCTACAGCTGATGCTAGTTCCCAAACTTCAAATATTGCAATTTCAAGTCTCATTTTCCAGTTCCCAAACTTCAAGACTTGTAAGAAGCTCTGTTGTGACTTTGCGTTTCTACTTTAAAAAAAAATAACAGTCTCTAATTTACGGCTTACTTTTAGAAACTCAAGCCAGAGAGCAATGTATCACCAGTTAAAATCCCAAAATGGGTAAAATCCGACCACACTTATTAACATATATGGCAATGTATATAAAATCAGTCCAACTTGCTAGTTAATCTCATCAGCGTGATTATCGTCATCATCAAAGCCTTTTCCCAACTAATTGGGTCGGCTAATTTCATAACCATGGTGATAATTTGAAATTCAGGGGAACATAATAGGGGTTCTAAATGTTGTGTGAATCTGTAGCCATGGATTTTATGGAATTGTAATTGAGTACCTGTGTTCACGCTACAGTCTTAAATACTGAATTGTGTAAAATGCCATCCATTTTAATTGTTGAAACCCAGACAGCTAATTACAGATACAATTTCGGAATTGTAAGGATCATCATTGCTAGAATATTACTTGTAAGCATTTTATTAAAACTTACCCAAAAACTCTTTTAAGGTAGAATACCATCTCTCTGCTCTCTCTTTATCTGTCTCTCATCCCAGCGTCTCTCTCTCTCATTCTTTCTCTCTTCCTTTCCTGTTAGAACCCTTTTTCTATTTTTCTTTATTTCGTTTTTGGCTTATTTAGCTTTTGCTTTGTTTTCTTTTTGTGAGCACCTGACCTGTGGGTTGTACATACTAGTTAATATCTAATATAATGTCACCTTGGTTGAAAAAAAGAAGATAGAATACACATCCCAGTACCAAAGATTCAGGAAAATCATTTCAAATGTATGAGAATCATTTGGTTGTAATGTGTATCTTGAATTCCCTGACTAAATGCAATCCCATAACCAAATCCCGGAAAACCTAATGAACTTATTATTACAAGAAGAATGGAATAACAGTATCATCGTGATTACCATTCATCGACAGCCCAAAACTAGAAATTAGTTCAAATGAACAATTAGTGATTGTGAATGAAAATTTATTAAAAGTTCATAGCTCCAGTACAAAGCACTCGATATAAACTCTAAATCCAAGATAAATAAATAAATAAAATGAATTGACTTTGGCATTAAAATCAAAATTAAAAAGAAAAAGAAAAGAAAAAAAGCTCAGACCCTCCACTCAAAGCAATTACCATTGCACTCATCCAGTAAACAATTAATTCATAGAAAACAAAACTAAAAACAAATCAAACAAGCTAAATTAAACTGTCATTTACCAGTCACTGTGGAGTGAAGAACCAAAGCTATTAGACGCCATGACCAAGTTCCTCCTGCTTTGCAACAAAGCAAAAGCAGGAGCAGAGCCATAAGCAATCCTCCTTTTCCTGACCTCATCGATTTCACCATCTTCAACTCCCATCCTCAACTCCACCACGTCCCCCTCGCCTGAGTTTCCTGCCATTTCCTCGCTGGATTCTAGCGATGGCTGCCGAAAAATAGCAACTCTCAGCGAGTTCCCTCTCGACCACGAGATAGAGAGAGAAGAAGCTGGGGTTTGGACGCCATGAGAGAGGCGATAGACCAATTGTTCTTTGACCTCTGGAACAAAGGGAACCAGGGCTGTAGTGGCCGACTCTGAAGCTCTACCAGGCATCTCAGGAGACCAGAAAAGACTTTGGGTTTAAGAATCAGGATACAGTATTATTGTTGTTGAGTTTTAGAGTTTGGGTATGAGGCTATGGAAAATGATTTGAAAACCAGAGAAGGAATGGCGGATTATGCAGTCCTGCATAGCAAAGCAGGTGGCTTCTTCCAGAAAATGGCAGATTATAGGGTTTAGGAAATTAGGGTTTTGAGGTCAGGAGATGGATTCAGTCGGTTCTTTTATCAAGCTTTAGAAGCCATAGCCGTAAGCGCTCACCCTCTGCAAATGGACTAAGGTTTTACCGTCTGGGAAATAATTTCGAGGGAAGCTGGCTGCGGGAATTTGAATGTTCTACGGAGTCATATAGTGGCAATGAAATGGAAATTTTTCATCATTTGATCGAGTGTTTAAAAATCGGCGAGTCGAACCGGACTCGGTTTCGGTTAGAGAATCGGCACAGTTTGTGTCTGTTCTGATACAAAACTAGAAACCGCTCATTTCTAGAGGAGAACCGCCGGTTCCAATCCGATTTTGTCCGAATTTGAATGTTCTACGGATACAAAACTAGAAACCGCTCATTTCTAGAGGAGAACCGTCGGTTCCAATCCGGTTTTGTCCGAATTTGAATGTCCTACGGAGTCATATAGTGGCAATGAAAAGGAAATTTTTCATCGTTTGATCTAGTGTTTTAAAAATCGACGAGCCGAACTGGACTCGCCCGATTCGGCTGGGAAACCGGCACAGCTCGCGCCGGTTACGATACAAAATTGGAAACCGCCTGTTTCTAAAGGAGAACCGCCTGTTCCAATCCAGTTTTGTCCGGTTCAGCCTGGTTCCCTCCGGGCACACGTGCGACACATGTGAGGTTGCCCTAATATTTCTACACAAGCATTTTAATCTATATTACATAGGTATTTATATACCAAAGTGAAATACCCGTCTTTCGATGTCGGATAATTCCCAAACATCATTAAATGAAAAAAGAATTTAAATATATTCTATTAATCATTAAATTATAATCACGTATGGTGAGGTGGTGTGGTGGTTAAGACCTTTGTTTCTTTATGTAACCTCTTAAGGTGGAGTCCTCCCTTAGGTGTTATTTTTTTGTGTTGTATATATTGTATAAATATTTTTGTAAATAATATAAAAAGCATAAAAAAATAAAAAAGTTAATTTTTTATATAACAGTTAAATTTTGTTGTATATAGTGGTATAATTATTTTTTTAAATAATATGAAAGACATAAAAAAATAAAACATAAAAAGTTTATTCTATTTGAAATCTCCATCTTTCTACTAACAATCTCTTTCACTAAATTTATTGTAGAAACCTAAAAAAATAAATTTTTGAAAAATTGAAGTGTTATTTCCAAAATTTGTACGTATTTTATTAATTTTTACATTGATAACCAAATCTTTTATTTTATTTATTAATTTTTACATTATAAATCATGTATATTTTTCTTACAGTTGTCAATAATACATTTTAAATTAGATAATTGCTATAAAATATTTTTAATTTGTTATTATTTGTCTAATAAAATAATTATAAAATGTAAAATAATAATTATAATTTCATTATATAATATTATAATTAGTTAGGTTTTAATAATTTTGGATTATAGTTAGTTAGGCTGTAATAATTTGGATTTTTTTAGCGGATTAGGGTTTTTCACCGAAACTAGATTTTAATGGCTATTCTTTCATTGATTAGTCTACTCTTTATAATAGTCTATGTATAATTATATATTTTATCTATGATAATTCTATGATTTTTCTTTTATGTGATGCAAATTTAATGGTTAACATAAGTTTATACAGGGAAATAGCATCTCAATATTCACAAAATGATGAAAAAAATGAAAGTTAATAATGTAGTACATTCATTTCTTATTGGATTCCTAAAAACCAATATTTATAATGAATTTTAATATTTTTTTCGGATTTTTTTTAAGCTTTAATCCGACCGATTCAGCTGATTCCCAATCCGGATCGTCGATTCGCCGATCCGAAACGGTTTTTTAGATGCCCAATCAGGGTCACCGATCCGCTTTTTAAACCATTGGTTTGATCCGTTAAAAGGAGCGCTTGAAACTAGGATACGTGAGGTGGTCATACAATTCCGTATTAGATGGCTAGATTGGCATTTGGATAAGTTTATAACAGGGTTTGAAAACTCTTACGATTCGACTCCCCGAAAAAACTGGGAGTCGCTCGTGTCTATAGAGAACGGGGCGAATTCCCAACAGTGAATCGTGAGTCTTACATGCCCATTTCTAGAAAAAACCCGACGGAACCGGACGAATTCCCAACAGTGAATCGTGAGTCTTACACTCCCGTGTCTAGAGAGAACCAGGCGGATTCCCAACAGTGAATCGTGAGTCTTACACGTCGTCATGGTAACTCACCTCACATGTCGGTCCCATCGCTTTCTACACGTGCAATATAATATCCATTACACATGAATATATAGATAACAAAGCAAAGCCCATCCTTCGATGTGGGATAATTCCCACAAAAATCATTAAAGCAATACGATTGAATATATATTATTATAGAAGCTAATACATTCACATTAGGCGGTGTGGCAGTGTTGGTTGACATCTTCGATTTTAAGGGAGAAGTATTGAATTCGAACCCCTTAGTGTGCGCGCGAGTTCGCGTTTTTTGTTGTCGAAAAAATAAACAAAAGCAGAAAATAATGTTATAAAAAAATAGAAAAAATACAAAATAAAAGTCTTTTCAAGATAAAGATAAATAAGATAATACAACATTTTTTTATTTCTCTTTTAAAATAAATACAAAGTAATATAACAAGTATTTATTGCAAACAATAAAACAAAAGGCATAAAAAAATAAAATGTATTTTGGCAGCATCATTTTTTTATTTTTCTTGTAAAAAAAAAAAATTAATAATACAACAAGCAAAAAAAAAAGTAGCACAACATCTTCTTCTTTTGTCAAAAAAAAAAAAAGATAATCAACAAGTATCATATTTCTCTTGTAAAAAAAATAAAAGATAATACAATAAGTATTTCTTGTCAAAAAAATAAAAAATATTTCTTAATACAACCTAGGAATAAATGGTCTGATTATATTTTTTATTTTTATAACATGATGGTCTTTAACATAAATTTAGTAATATTAATTTAAAGATAGGATTCATACAATGAAGCCATTTGAAATCTCTCTTTCTAGTAAGTAGTACTAACAATCTCTTCCACTAATTTATTTTAGAAACCTAAAAAATTAAAGAAAATTGGTACGCATTGTAATAATTTATACATTGATAACCAAATCTTTTATCTTATTTATTAATTTTTGTATTATAAATCATGTAGTGTACTATTTTTATTACATTTGTCAATGGTACATTTTAAATTAGATGATATTATAAAAT